TTACCACAAGCCTGACAACCTGAGTCTGCACCCACCCCAGAACTCAAGTGGTAGAAGGAAAGGATTAACCCCCCAAAACTGTCCTCTGACCTCCACATGTGTTCTGTGGTACATTGCCCCGCCACCTGCATATTCATTCTCTCTCTCTCTCTCTCTCTCTCTCTCTCTCTCTCTCTCTCTCTCTCTCATACACACACATAAAATAATAAACTTTTAAAATGCATACTCAACAAATCAGGTACAGAAGAAAGCTTCTTCAAACTGAGCAAATGAAAACCCCACAGCTAAAAGGTGTGGTGGTACAAACCCATAACCCCAGCATTCAGGGGACAGAGCAGGAAGACTGAGTTCCAGACCAGCCTCAGTTACATAGTAAGGACCTGTTTGAAAACAGAAGAGAAAGGAAGAAAAGAAAAAAAGGAAAAGAAGAATCCATGGGTAGCATTATATTTCATGCCTGGAAGCATCTGCCCTGAAAGCAGGAACAAGACAAGGTTGTCCGCCCTCAAACCCTGGTCAGGACAATGATGTAAGCAACAGAAGGCCCCAGACAGAAACGGGGAAGTAAAGGCCTCTTCACACCTAGTTTTGCATATAGTAAATCTTAAGGTCTCTTTAAAAAAGAAAGAAAGAAAGAAAGAGAGAGAGAGAGAAAGAAAGAAAGAAAGAAAGAAAGAAAGAAAGAAAGAAAGAAAAACCTGCTACAACTAATAAATTAGTTCAGCAAATAGGAAAGATACAAAACAAATAAAATCTGCCTGGTCAGGTGTATTGCTATCTGTTAATAATGAACAATCTGAAAGTGAAAAGAATAAAATACTTAGAAATATCAAAAAGACACACATACTACTCTTGAAAGACTTAAATGAAAGGAAAAATGCTCTGCATTCAAGAATTAGAAAAATTCATATTAAGGTGCAATATTTCCCACACTGTCTAGGGAATCAGTGCAGTCCCAACCAAAATCCTGTCTGCCATTTGTTTGAACAGAAATTGGTAAGCTGATGCTAAGCTCCATAAGGAAATGTAAGAGACCCAGGATAAACAAAGCACTATGAAATGAAGGGCTCATCTCCTTGATTTCGAAATTGACTATCAAGAAGTAGTGAAGGACAGGCACAAGAAAAGAGATCTATCTACCAAGGCATAGATTGAGAGCACAGGAGTGACTTGTCACAGGGGCAGTATAACTCAGTCAGGAGAACAATGTTTTCTACAGATGGGAAGGCAATTAGTATCCACATACAAAAGAATGAAGTTGGCTCTCTTGTACCATACAGAAATTAACTCAGCAGAAATCCAATATTCAAATAAAAGAATTAAAACTTAAAACTCTTAAAAGAAAATATAGGTATAACTCCTCATGACCTTGGATTCAACAATGGTATGTTTTATGTGTAAAACCTAAAGTACAAGCAACCAAAGGGAAAATAGATAAATTGGACTTCATCAAAATTTAAAACTTTTGTGCATCAGAAGAGAGAAGCATCAAGAAAGAAGAAAGACAACTCACAGACTGACAGAAGTCATTCAAATCACCTACCTGATAAGGATCTTATACTGAACAATAAAAGAACTGAGTTGAAAATAGGCAAAGGATTTGAAAAGACATGTTCGTAAAGACAACATCTCCAGCAAGGACATGAGAAAATGCTCGACATCATTACTCATTAGGGAAATGTAATCAAAACCACAATGAAGAACTACTTCATATCCAGGAGGATTAAGTATCTTTTTTTTTTTTTTTTGGTTTTTTTTGGGACAGGGTCTCCCTGTAGCCCCAGCTGGCCTGGATTTGCTATGGAGACCAGGCTAGCCTCAAACTCACAGAGATCTGCCTGCCTCTGCCTCCCAAGTGCTGAGAAAAATAGTGTTAGCAAGGATACAGAAAACCCTCTTATGCTGCTGATGAGATTGTAAAGACAGTGCAGCCACTATATAAAAGCTCAGTGGTTCCTCAAAAAGCTAAACACTGAAATTAGTATATGATCTAGCAGTTCTGCTGATAAGAATATTCCCAGAAGATCTGAAAGCAGAGACGTGACTGGTACACGCTACCATTCTCTACAGTATTATCCAGGACAGCAAGCTAGCAGAAACAACCCCACGAGTCCATCAACAGATGAACAGATTTGTTTAAATGTGATATGCACAGACAATAAAATATTATTCAACCATAAAGAATGGAGTTCTGATACAGTGTACCACATGGATGAACCTCAAGGCCTTAGGGTAAGGGAAATAAGCCAGATGGAAAAGAAAAAATATAGTGAATTTCTATTTATATGAGTTACCCAAAAGGGCAAATTTATTGAGACAGAGAGTAGAGATTTGGGGGAATAGGAATGGGGAATTACTGCTTAATGTTGACAGTGTCTATTTGGGATGATAGAAAAATATTTTTTAGAAACAGATAGTGGTGATGGTTGTACAACATAGTAAATGTAATTAATGCCATTGAATTGCACATTTAAAAATGTAAATGTGAGTCTGGCACGGTAGGACATACCTATAATCCCAGCACTTGGGAGGTGTGTGCTAGATAACTTTAGTGTCAACTTGACACACCTGGGTTGAGGGAGCCTCATTTGGGGAATTGCCTTCATTGGACTGGCCTGTGGCCATGTCTATGGAGCATCTTCTTGATTGTTGAGTGATATGGGAGGGCCCAGCCCACTGTGGGTGGTGCCACCCCTGGGCAGGTGGGCCTGTGTTGAATAAGAAAGCAGGTTGAGCAGGGGCACGGGGAACAAACCAGTAAGCAGCGTTCCTCCATGGCCTGTGCTCCAGCTCTGGCCTCCAGGTTCTTGCCCTGAGTTCCTACCTTGGGCTCCCTGATGAACTGTGTCCCAGGAGACATAAGATAAATAAACCTTTACTCCCCAAGTTGGTTGTGGTCAGAGTGTTTTGTCACAGCAAAGAAGAAACAAACTAGGACAAGGTAAAGTAGGAAGATCAGGATTTCAAGATCAACCTCTGCTACTTAATAAGTCTAAGGCCACATAAGACCTCATCTCAAAAAAGTCAAAACAGGGGACTGGAGAGATGGCTCAGTGGGGAGGAGCACATGCTGCTCTTGCAGAGGACCCAAGTTCAACTCCCAGCACCATGCCAGGTGTCTTACAATCATTTGTAACTCTGCCTGCAGGAGATCCAATGCCCTCTTCTGGCTTCCACAGGCAGTCACACACATGCACACAGATACATATAGATTCATGTAAATGAAAATAAAATCTTTCAAAAATTAAATCATAAAAAAATCAATAAAAAAGCAAATGCTACGAAAAAGACAAATGAATACACATGCATATATTCCTAACTTTAAATATAACTAATGCCAAGCCACATAATTGTAAAAATCAAATGGGCAATTTTTATGGTATGTGACTTTTATCTCAATAAAGCTATTTTTACAAAAGGAAAGATAAGGGGCTGGAGAGACGGCTCAGCAGTTAAGAACACTGGCTGCTCTTGCAGAGGACCCGGGTTCAGTTCCCAGAGCTCACGTGGCAGGTAACAACCATCCATAACTTCAGTTCTAGGGGCTCTGATACCATTCTGGCCTCCAGGAGCACTGCATGCACAAGTGCACTTACATACATATAGGTAAGACACTCATGCACATAAAATAAAAATTAATTAGCTAATTTTTTAAAAGGGAAAAACAAAACAAGCTCTCCAGCTATGAAAAGACATGAAGAAATCTTAAGCGCACACTGCTAGTCAAAGAAGCCAGTCTAACAAAGTTGTATGATTCTGACTTTATGACATCCAGAAATGGTAGAACCATAAAGACCAGTGGTCTCCAGGGCCAAGAGGGTGAGGGGGACGGGTCAGTCAGGGGGCCTCGGGGCATACTTAGGAAACTGGAAGGATTCTGTATCTTATAGGATGGTGGACAACTTTTCAAAAGCTACAGAACTGTGTGACATGGAGCAAATCCTAATATAAAATGCAAACGTTAGTATTGTCTGTATTGGCCCCATACTAACACAAGATGTTAATAATAGGGGGAATCATTTGTAGGTGGGGATGGGTACATGGAAACAATTTTTTGTACAATGATTTTCTGAGAAAAAAAAAAGATCTATTTTTAGTTGGGTGTGATGGTGCATACCTTTAATCCCAGCACTCAGGAGGAAGAGGCAAGTGGATCTCTGTGAGATCAAGGCCAGTCTGATCTACATAATGAGTTCCAAGCCAGATAGTGAGACCCTGTCTAAAACAAAACAAAAAACAAAAAAAAAAGTCTTTAAAATGCACTGACCACAGAGACTACTGTCAATTTATTGTCTCCTCACAGATCATAAGCCCACTGCTTTAAACAGAAATCCGAATTCTGTGTTAGATGGAAAGGAAGTGCAGATTCATCTGCCTTTGCAGACTATTTGACACTATTAATTCACTTCAATATTCTATGTAGCCCTTTCCCGTTTCACCCCCTCTCCTAGCCCCAGAATTATTTTTTGACCTAAAATTCTGTGTTTCTGTTAAGTACATTAATCTACATAGCCTTTGAAGATTTTAGAGCCCTTAGGTACACTTCCCTAATTAGTGACTAAATTCCAATGTAATTATAATTATGAACTACAGGGATATTATCCAGAATCACTGTAGCTCCTATTTTATCCTTTATTCATTTTTCTATGCAGCATCATTCTATCAGGAACCTACATGTGCTGTCCATTCTTTTCAGAACAAATACATTATTCTCTGAGGCACTGCAGTCAACACAGAAGATAAAACGAGAACCGTAACTGTCTAAGAAGATAAGTGCTTAGTACATTTAAGAGCAACTTCTCAAGCCCAACATGATGGTACACACCTCTAATCGCCACACATGGGCGGCTTGGCCAGGAGGACTGCAAATTTAGGACAGCCTAAGTTACAAAGCAAGGCACTGTCTCAAAAAGAACACTTCCCCCTGATCCTGGTTTAAAATGATCCTCCCCAAACTCCTAACTACTGCCGGCCCGCTCTATAATTATTTAAGCTGTTACCTTGGTCTTTTCCAGCTTCATCTATGTGTTGAAAATCTTTCAGCATCCGAAGGTTACAGAAGCCCTCTCTGCAGCACTGAATAACTTTCTTTGATCCATTCTTGATGAGATAATCCATTAGGATAAGGGATTTGTACATGTGGCGCCAATTCCTCCCATGGTCACTAAGTCTCTGCCATAGCATGTGCATAAATCTCTGAGAGAGAGATCCTGTTGAAAGTCAAGTCGCTGATTGCTAACATCAGAGAGCTAGAGGGACCCCAAGGGTCATTAGATGTTGCTTCCCTGACTTTTATTTCAGCATCGGAGTAATTTTTCACAAAGTTTTTCACTTGCCTTCTGAATGCCATAGGTAGGACAAGTTTGAAGGTGAAATGGGGGTGAGAGCGATGGAGTAGGAGTGGTTGGTTTATAAAACTCCTGATAGACAACTGGTCCTAGGACCAGTTGCTCCCAAATACAAATGATTCATCTCCACATAATAAAATATCAGTTTTCTGCAAGGAAAGTAGCAAAAATGTTTAAGTTAAATATTTTTTTAAATGTCTACAGAAGACCAAGTTAGTCTGAAAAAAATCTAGATTTAGTTTCAACTCAGCCTCTCCCTTCATCAGCCAGAATGGAGGGTTCCATGTAGGTGTTCTTAGGATGGGTGTGGGGAAAAATCCCTGTGGTGGTTTGAATGAAAATGTCCCCCATAGGCTCCAAGCATTTGGACATTTTGTCCCCAGATCGTGGCGCTGTTTTGGGAGGTCTTAGAAGGTGTGGCTATGCTGGAGGAAGCATGTCCCTGGGGGTGGGCTTAGAGAGTTCTTAAGCCTGGCGGGATCTCCAGTTGCTCTCTTGCTTCCTTCTATACCTGCTTGATGATGTGAGAGCTTAGCTTCTGCTCCTGCTCCAGCCACCATGCCTCCCCATCATGATGGACTGTAATTCCCCTGGAACCATAAGCTCAAATAAACTCTTCCTTCTATAAATTGCTTTGGTCAGTGTTTCTATCACAGCAACAGAAAAGTGACTAACACAATCCCTCACTAGACTGATCTACATTATTTAAAGAAATAATTGGTCTTTCTGATCCTAAAAGTTTCTGTAGACTATATCACTTAACCTCTTTGGCCAGAAATACAGTGATTATAAAGGCTTCTAAACAGAGTAGGCAATCAGTACTTAAAAAGAGAACTCGTACCCTGACATCTTTTGTTTAACATATGCTGTCATGTATGAGTATTGCATCCTGAAAGAAATTAAAATACTGGTGAACATTGATTCTGAGAACCTCCTAGGGCCCCTATGACAGTGTTCTCTCTAGAACTGCATTACCATCAGCTCTAAATATATTCTGTGTTCTTGGTATCTAGAGAGCCAACATTAAGACAAATGCTTCTACCTCAGTGTGTTCACAGCTAAGTTGTGTTACCCTAAAACCATTGTTTCAGTAAGGCTAGTAAACTAGAGGGAAATGTCCAATTACTTTCTAAGATTCAATAGTATCAAAGTGATATTTAAACAAAATAGTGTAAAGATTTTACACTATTCACCCTAAAAACTAGGGTGATTAGCATATGTCTGGCAGCTCTCTCGAAACCAAAACACGTCAAAGGAAGCCCATTTAGGTTAATATAAAAACGCAGTACAACTTAAAAAGGGTATGCAGCCCCCAAGAATTCACAGAATGGTTGGGAATTATCTGTTCACAATTTACATGAAAACCTTCCCTTCCTCTTTCTCTCCACTCTGCAGGAAGGTGAGTTGGTGTGCAATTTCTCTAGTGACTCACCTCTGATAGCTACAGGGGCAGTGTGCCAAATTGATTTCAAGCCCTGATGAGCATCCAGACCCAATGAAGCCTAGACCAACTATAATCAGATTTTTACTACAGAAGCTGCACACATACAAAAGAAAAAAAAAAGGAAAAAATCCATAATGAATGAATGTCTGTTATTTTTAGTTTTGTTTCTCTTCCTTGACCTCAGCTATGAGCTCACGCCTGATTAATTTGTGTGCTGAAGGAAGACATAAATTTTCAGGTGCATGTTAAACGAACTAGCACCCCCTTTTAAGATATAAGATCATGAACTCCCCACCTTTTTGGTAAAAGTCCAATGCACACTCAAATAAACAAGATAGAAAATGTTATTGATTTAATTAAGACTTCTCAGAAAGAAACCACATCCAACCTATGAAGAAAAAAAGAATTGTGATTCCACAACTTTCTGATTTCTCATATGCACTAAAAATACAAGCATTTTTGTCTGACTTCCTCTTGCAGAAAAAACCTGATTTATAATGTTTCAATAAGCTATTAAAAATTTCAATTTCTACCGTCCTTTTTTTCTCCTCTACCAAACTCACTTAATGCACAGATGCACTGTAACATTGGCTTAGAGCAACAAATATTGATCTATTTCTTCACAAGTCTATTTTAAAAAAGAAAAACCCTGTTAGAATCATAACTTGCTGGAATTAAACAACAGTTGTCAAAATCTTTTGTTTTTATAGCTACCTGTCTATATTTTGGCAGGACCATGTTAATTTTTAGGTTTTCCTATATTCTTTAAACTGCATCCTTAAATTTTTGAAGTCTTTCTCTCTCTCTCTCTCTCTCTCTCTCTCTCCCTATCTATCTCTCTCTCCCTCCCTCTCTCTCTCTCTCTCTCTTTCTGGTCTTTTTGAGACACAGTCTCCCTGTATGGAGAACTCACTATGTAGACCAAGTTGGCCTTGAACTTACAAAGATCTGCCTGCCTCTGCCTCCCAAGTGCTGGGACCAAAGCGTGCGCTCCAAGTGTTTTCTTAAACAAAATTTCTGCCTCAGAAAAAAATCAAAATAAGACCTTTCTAGTCCAAAATAGTAATTTAAAATGGATATGCCCAGCACCATACCAAAACCCAATACACTCCCATTACAAAAACTACAAAGGAAAAAATCTAGCTAAGTAAATCAGTATCACTTACTTGTGTATAGTGATATCAACTTTACTTTGTGACAAGAACATAGGATTTATAAACCACCATTCTACTATAAGGAATTCAATTAATTGGTGTCCGTTGTAAATTATACTAGCTTATTATGTTTTAGTCCTCCACTGTAGGCAGGTGGTCTGTTACTTTAGCCTCAGGCAAAGTTGAGACTATAATTACAGCCATCTGCTGCAGAGATGCTTCAGCCAATGAAGGACTGCACACATGACAACAGTCACACAAGACTATATCACCTAGTGACACCATAGCCATCTAGATTTGTGTAAGTACACGCTGCATTTTCATAGGCCTACTGGCACATTTCTCAGAATGTGTCCTTGTCATTGAGCATTACGTGACTATATAAAATCTGAGACAAAATTAGTGTCAAGAAGCCAAATTTCCACACCCAAAGCTGTCTACATCCCTATCTGGCTGTCTACATCCCTATCGTATTGAGAAATAGAGGGAAGAAGGCATTTCATGTCACAGATCTGTCGCCCCTCTGACCTCTGACCTCACTATGCAAGCCAACCCCTCAAACTCTTTTCAGCACCAGGTCAATTTCCTTCTTGGCACTGAGGTTTCTTTTATAACATTTAGAATGATCTACTTATCTACTTTTACAAAGAACACCAGATTAGAAGCTCCTGGAGGGCAGAAACCTTGATTTACATGACTGTTTTACCACCATAATCCTATCCTAATGGATACCTAGCAATTTTAGGAACCCAGGAAGTGTGTAAATGATCATATGGTTAAATGATTTTGCTTTGGGATAACCTTAAATGATTCAATAACTTTTCATTTTAAACATATTTTAAAAAATAAAATCTAATGCCAGGCATGGTGGCGCACGCCTGTAGTCCCAGCACTTGAGAGGCAGAGGCAGGTGGATCTCTGTGAGTTCAAGGCCAGCCTGGTCTACATAGTGAGTTCCAGGACAGCTGGGGCCACAGGGAGAGCCTGCTTCAAAAAGACCAAAAAATAAAATAAAATAAATAAAATCTAGCTCTTGTTATTGTCAAGTAAAAATTCAGACTTTGGGCAAATATTTTCCAAGCAACCAACCAATCTCTTGAGAAAACCATTTATATAGCTTTGTGGAGAAATGTAAATCAAGTTCCCTATGGTCAAAAAACTTCCCGTTTCCCTTAGGAACTTTCTCGTTCAGATTTCTGAAGCAAACAAAAGGCAGATGGAAGAGGTCTTGGTTTTCTTTGGGGATCTGCCCACTTCCATAATACCATTCCTTTCCTGACCTTTCACTGGAATCATAACAGGAAAGCATTTATCACGTGACCTGAAACTGCTGGTCCACAACCTCATACAATTCCTCTGAGGCAGGTGACTGATGGAATTTTGGAAGGATGTTGTAGTGCCTCTAGCGTACATTACAGAAGACCCACAGTAAGGGAAAAGGATGCTGTCAACCATGAACCCCACCAATGTTTGCAACAAAAACATGTACATATTTAGAATAGAGACTATAAATGACCGCATTTCGGTTCAGATTTCACAACCAAGTAAGCTAAAAAGAAAAATTGGTTTTCAAAACTTTCTAGATTTCAGAACTGGGAATAAAGGATTGAAGAACTGGAGGAACTAATCATGAGGTAATAAAGATAATAACTAAGAGACTGAGTGCCGGGAAGCACTCTGGAAAGATACCCGGGAGATGTGCCAGAAGGAAAGAGCATGTCTTGTTTGTACAGTTCTTAGCCTACAATCTTCAGTTTGGCTAAGGAGGGAACAGCGCACGGGCCGAGATTGTTAAACAATTATAGAAAATACCGTGGCATCAGAAGGTGCTACTGTTTGGGATGAGCACTATAATGCAAGAGTCATATCAGTATTCACAGGTTTTCCAAAGCTTATTATACGGTAAGCTCCATCCTAGGTAAGAAGGGACCATACAAACAGGTGTGGGGGGACACACCTGCCTCCTGGAGTATGGCTTCCCCGGGCTTCCACGTGCCTTATTTCAGAGCTTGAAGATTCAGGGGCATGGACTTGCAGTCCTACTGTGCCATCTCCTAATCAATGACTTCTCTGGGCCTCAGTTTCTTCATCTGCATAAGGGATACCACCACAGAGGGCTGTGAGAGGAAGAAAGCGATGCTCTGGAGAGAATTTTGAAAAATAGAGGGTAGGGTCTGAGCGAATCCACTTCCGGTGGACGAGGCCTTTCCTGGCACCCACATTTTCACTCATGCTAGAGTCATTTCAAAATAAGCCCTATGTACCTCGTGGACCTGGTTGCTGGGTCACACAGAGAACCAACCTGGTGACTGCGCAAAAGGGACACAATTTCCTGCAGCAGAGGAGCTTCCATGAGGAAGCTTCTGGAAGGAGGAAGGGAATGCCATGGCATCCGGAAGACGCA